CCTTCTCGGACCCTTCTCGGACCCTTCTCGGACCCTTCTCGGACCCTTCTCGGACCCTTCTCGGACCCTTCTCGGACCCTTCTCGGACCCTTCTCGGACCCTTCTCGCAGGTGATCGACGCGGGCGACGGAGGCCCTCCGCTGCTGTTCGGTCGGCTGGCGCAGCCGGTGGTGGCGGGAGATCTCGAGTGGGTGATCGAGGAGGAGGAAAGGGGGGAGGAGGAGGAGGGAGGTGCGCACGCACGCTGCGCCGCCCCCCAGCCTCCGCGTCTGCAGACTCCCAAGCCCTCCGCGCGTGGCTTCCAAGACACGTCGTAGGCACTTCCTAGACACTTCCTAGAGTTCCTAGACACGTCCTAGAACCGAACCCACGCTGGGTTCGAGATCTCTGGAGGCATGGTACTAGGCGGCGGCGCGGCGCGGCGCGTGCTGACGGTGGAGATGCCCAAGGCCGCCGCTTCAGGGGCTGCCTCTGCCGACTGCATTTTCGACGAGACTTTGGTTGTGGGAGGGGTGCCGTGCCTCGCCCCCGGCCTCAGCCAAGGCGCGGCCACGCCGTGGCCTCCTGCACACACACGCTCTAGGCACTCTCACACAGCTCCCCAGCCACGCTTGTGCTTGGCTTTGCACATTGAGTGTGCCGGGCCAGCTCCCGCCATCCGGGAGAGGCTTACCTTCCCCCCCCCCCCCCCCCTTGTGTGTGTGTGTGCGGAGAAGCTTGACCTTACCTTACCCTCCCCCCGGCAGGCGTCCTCACCGTACAGCTGCCGCGGCCGTGCTAGCGCGGGCAAACGGGGTTCGGGGCGGGTGTGTTCGCGCCCCGGTGCTAGTGATTTGCAAGGTGCCCCCATGCACTCGGTGCACGGTGGCATTCAGAAAGGATTCTCCAGCAGTAACGAGTTTTAGCCCGCCCCCCTCACGATTGAATATCGATGTTACGCGTTAAAAAAAGTAATATATCTTTACTTCCAAAACCCGGACGTGCCTCCACCGGCACGCCGCTTCCGACAGGGTGATGGAAGGTTCGACGCACCCCCGGACTGGGCAGAGAGGTCCCAACGTAAAGACGCTGGGCACTCCACCCCGCCCCCACTTGCCCTGACTGCACAGGATAGCGAACGAATAGCGTGCCCCGACGAACGGCGACTAATATCGATGTTACGTTAAGGCCCCGGGACCATGTGGAATAGATTCCTCGTCCTCGTCCCCGGAAATCCTAGGGGTCTTATCGAGGATCAGATTTGCTGGAAGGGGGGGCAGCCTGAATTTAGGCACGTACAACGTGATGCACGGTGCGCATGGCGTCGTCTCGTGGAGTAGAGAGAGAGCGCGCGACCACGCCCCACCGGGAGCAGTCACTCGAGTGTATCGTTTTGGTTGATCTACCATCTACGAGCTAGGACATTTTGTGGGGAGGGATTCGCTCATCGCTCACCCCTCTGCCAGCTCCCACGATTTAAACTCCTCACACCGCGTCATCCACCAGACACTGTCCCTCATCAGAGCGACGGAGCGCAGCGCAAAGGCCTGCAGCTCGTCGTCGTCGGTGCCAATCTGCTCTCGGAGCGGCGTCGCGTGGAAAGCCCGCACCGCCGCCGCGATCGCCGCCGCCTGCTCTGGCCGCAGCCCCTCCGCCCGCCCGAGCAGCCGGCCCAGCGTGACGTGGAGCAGTCTCTTTGGGCGCGAGGTGAGCATTCCCAACGCGTCGCCGCCCGCACGCGCGCACGCCTCGCGCAGCGCAGCGGCGCAGCCTCGCTCGTCGTCGACAAAACCCGCGATAAGGGCACCGTCGGCGCACACGCACAGCGAGTCGAGTACGAGACGTGGCGCATTCATCGGCGCGGTGCGCGCCGCCACTGCCTCGCCGACCGCTTTCGCCTCGCTCGGCTCGACGCGGCGCCACCGCTGGCGCGTCGCCTCATCGATCAGGCTCGGGTGCTCGTGAAAGACGGCGACGCACATGTGCCACGTCCGCTCATCGGCCATGAAGAGCAGCTCGTCGAGCGAGTCACGCTGCCGGCCTAGGAGCATGCTCCACGTGCTATCTGTGTCATGCAATGGCAAATCGAAGCAGTCGCCAGGCACCCGCGTCAAGCGCCGACCGGACTGGCGCGAGGACGCAGCGGTCAAAGGCCTGGCGGCACAGCCGCAGCACGCGGACGGCCTGCGAGTTTTGAGCAAGCATCGCGTAGCAGCCAATCGGACCGTCGCCGTCGGAAAAGGCGGGCGGCTGGTAGCGGCCGCTCTCGTCGCGGCAGCAGTGCGCCCGCACCCCGTCCGCCTGCGGCCACGATTCAGCCGCGGCGTCGCACCGCACGCGGATGTCGGCGTAGGCGTCGCTGAGGCCCATGTGTTACACGACCGAAGTTTCTCCGAGACCTCGGGAGCGGCCGGTTATTCACACCTCGGCAGTGTGCCATATACACACATATCATATCCGGTGTATTTTATTTTTGCTTGGGCGGACTCTCGAGGTTCTCGAAGTGGATATCCTTTGGCCGCGTTGGGTAGCGAGGATTGGTGTGACGCGATCCACGCAGGCGTGTTTTCTGGCGGCCGACCGTCAGTGCACGGAGTTAGGCGCGAGAACGAATCTGCGAGGCGTGGCCGCTCATGCGGCCCGATGGGGAGGAGCGGGGCGGACTACGGGGATCGGCTTCTTACGCAGCCCTTCCTTGCAGCGCTAGGTCTCGGGTTTGACGCATGGGGTCACTCCCGCGAAACTCGGGAACTAGCCGGGGCAGTCGGAGAAGGGGCAACTCCGTGCACTGACGGTCGGCCGTCAGAAAACACGCCTCCGTGGCTCGGGTTACACCAATCCTCGCTACCCAACGCGGCCAAAGGATATCCACCTCGAGAACCTCGAGAACAACGTGTTTGTTTGTTGCAATACCAAACACGTGTGAGAGATCGTGCACAGTACGGCCACCAACCACGCAGCCACGGCGGCCGTCGGATTGCAAGAGGTATAGTGGCAGCGAGCGGGGCTCACGCATCAAGCAGCGAGTGGAGGAGGTTGTGTGCCAATCAGAAGCACCTCGGCGTGCACAGTTGGATGGCAAATCACTCGCACTCACACTGGCAGTGCAGCAGCAACCCGGTGGTCGCCATGTGCATGTATGGCCTCGCACGTGCCGCTGATTACACGCGGCCAACTCTGCGGCGCCATGTGCGGCAACCACTGGAGGCGATTGGGGGCACCGACCTATTCATGCACGTGCTCCTCCAGCAAAGCATCACCAACCCACGCAACAAAGAGGATGGCGTTGAGCTCGACCCCGGCGACTTTTTGAAGCACGGTCCAGCATGTCGCTATACGGCCGAGGATCAAGACTCCGTCGACACCAGCCTCAAGAGCACATTCGACTTGTTCCCCGTTGGTGGGCGCTTCTACCCGGCCCGTTATGACTTCGGCCCCCCGCAACTCGTCAACTATTTTCGAGCTCTGTACAGCCTGCAGGCAGTGGCGCGCATGGCGATGACCTACGAAGTGAATCGTGGCTTCCGGTACCGAGTCGTCGCTGCCGTGCGCCCGGATACGGCCTTTCTGAATGAGCTGCCCGTGTGGCAGCTCCAGTCCCTGCTGACTTCCCCGGCGGCGCGAGTGGTTGTTCCGAACTTCCATCATTGGTGGGGCGTGAACGATCGAGCGGCGGTTGGGACACGCGACGCTATGTTCGACGTGCACATGAATCGCAGCGCAGAACTGCACACCTTCCTGAGTGCGCAGCCCCTGCAGGAAAGGGCCAGACGCTTTCAAAACAGCGAGACGTTCCTGTGCAAGTACCTGGTTGCCCAGAAGATTGAGGTCGAGGTGCTGGCGCACGTGTGCATTGTGCGTGTTCGTAGCGACGGCCATTGCTCCGAAACTGAATTTAAGGCGTCTGCGGAGGCACCCACATGCATGGGCAAGCTCTATAACCAGCGAGATGGAGTGCCGACCCAGGGCCACGGGCCGTGCAAGCGCCGGAGCTGCAAGGCAGACTTGATACCGAGGCGTAGGCTCAACTACACACACACTCACACAAACTAGAGGGTTCAGTGAGAAAAGAACTCCCAAACCCGAGAAAAAGAAAACAAGCCCCCGCGGCTCGGCCTGCACAGCGTCTTCGCTCGACTCCACCACAGCGATTTGGGCCGTCCACCCATGAACGAGGACGAGAAGCTGGCTGCGGCTCGCGCGCGAATTTTTGGGACGCGGCAGTACCGGCTTGCTCCAGCGCTCACCTTCGCCTTCCTGAGCTGCTATATGTGGTACGTGCGTCCACTATGACCGCATGTGAGTACCCGTTCCGTCGCGTGACTCGCCGACGCTGCGCACAGGTATGTCTACTACGTGGAGCGTCCTAACAACGAGCGGCTCGCCGCATCCAACCCCGTCGTCGGAATGGTAGTCATACGTCCCACGAGTTGTACGCGCTCCTCAACCCGGCAAAGCCGCCTCCTGGCGTCGTGAGCGTGCACGAAGCGAGTGGTCGGCAGTTGATGGCGGATGGGTCGATACGCAGACCGGACCGGTGAGGCTCTGGCAGAAAGACAAGGTACCTCTTGGAAGCTGTGCGCACAAAAAGCCCGTTGTCTCAGCCATGTCAGTCGCCATGTCAGTTCTGTTCGCCGTTGTGTCGGTGCCCAGAGAGTGCAGGAACGGCCACTTGCTGACAGGCGGCGCGGTGGGCGCCACCGACATCTATTTTTTTGAGATCGGTGGCAGTAAAACATCCCCTCCACCGCTGAGAAGGCGCACGGGTCGGGGACAGTGAAGGAGCAGCCGCGCACTCCGCCCAGGGCCACGGGCCGTGCAAGCGCCGGAGTTGCAAGGCAGACTTGATACCGAGGCGTAGGCTCAACTAATTCTAGAGGGTTCAGTGAGAAAAGAACTCCCAACCCCGAGAAAAAGAAAACAACCCCACGCGGCTCGGCCTGCACAGCGTCTTCGCTCTAGGCCGGTCTTTGGGCCCTGTTGAGTCGTTTCGGAAGTTGAAGTTGGCGCATCACAAAGAACCCAAATCCAACCCTGCCAACCGAGCAAGCCCATGGGGGACGCGAGGTCTTGCTCCACCTTCTCGGCGCTCGCGTCGCCCAACCTGAGAGCCTCATCCGCCATGCCGGGGCACATCTTGACCGGAGCCGGTCACATGTCCATCGTGCCCAAGACGGGGCACGGTCGACTCGACCGCGGCCGATGGCACCGGCCCAACGGCCGACCAAGATTTTACGCCTCCGAACGCCGGGCCGGTGAGGTGGCGGGTCGGGCGACACGGAAAATCGGTGGCTGACAACGACTTTTTGAGGCCATCGGTTTGAGGTCTGCAGACATTTTCTGGATGATCTCGCATTTCCCGAGGCGTAATCGCAGATCCAGACGGCCCAGCAGGTGGGCGCTGCAGGCGAGCCGCCTCACATCCTTCGCCCCCCCCGTCGCTCACGCTGCCTCTGAAGCACCGGACCACCCCCCCCGCGCCCAGGCGGCCTAGCTGCCGCGGGCTCCACCCACGCGGGCCACCATCAGCGCCGCCCGACGGCTCAGAACCTCTCTCTTTAGGTCCCACAAAAGGCGGCGAGCGAGCGGCGAGGCAGATGAATCGAGCTCTGGACGCATGCCGCGAGAGCTGTGAGGGTCGCAGCTCGGCCTCCATCTTGCCCGGTAGTGGCGCGTCGGCTTGCCGGCTCACGGGGGTCACTGCCCCTAGGTGCCGCCTCACCTCGCCTCTATGCACCCTTCACCCTCTAGCGCCTCACCCTGCCCGGTGCCGTGGTAGTGGCGGTGTCAGCCATGCTGGACCGGCGGCAGCGAGGCCGACGGGCGTGGCTGCGGCGACAACGGCGGCTTGGCCCGTGACGGCGACGGCGCTGACGGCAGAGCAGCTGCGGCCGGCACGGGCGGGTGCGGCCGAGCAGCGCGGCGCTCACAGCAGGCGGCCGGCGTGGCGGCGGCGACGGCGCCGCACGAGGAAGCGGTGGCGCAGCCGCGCATGACAGGTCCGGCGCGTGTCGAGCAGCGAGGTGGCGCGCCGCGCTGCCGACGCGCCCCCAGGCCGGAGGCGGCCGCCGCGTGCCGAGCCGCGGGCTGTTGGTGCTTACAGTCTGCGGCGGCGGCGCCGCCGCCGCGGAGCGAGGCAGCGGCGGCGGCGGCGGCGGCGGCGGCGGCGGGGGATGCGGCGGCTGCACGTTGTGCCTCGAGGCGTCGCTCGCGGCGCTGGTGCGGCGCGTGGTTGGCTGACGAGGTTGCGCGCGCACGGCGCACGAGGGTGTAGTCACGTCCCTCGGCTCTCGCCACCGCTGTCGCCGCGCGCTCCGCGTTCGTTGTCGCCGGCGCTGCCCGCCTCGAGCCACTGCGGCCACTGCCGCGCGACGTTGCGCCGCGCCATGCTGGCCGTCGCTCTCTCGACGTTGTGGAGGAGGCTCTGTCCCACGTCGAGAGGAGGCGTTCCCGCGGTGATATTGACCCAGCTCTGTTGTCTCTAGGCTGCGTCGGCACGGGAGGCGCTGCGGGCGGGAAGGTGGAGCGGGCTGCGGAGCGGCAGATTAGTGGCAGTGGCGACGGGCGGGGCGGCAGCGAGCAGGGTGGCGAGTGAGACGTTGGAGAGGCGGGGCTGGGGAGGCTGGTGCCGGTGCCACTACAGGCGGTGCAGGTGCGGTGTGCTACTGTAGTGCTCGCTCACCGGAGCGAGCGCGGCGGTCGGACCGTCCTGGCAAGGGCCGCTGACCAGGACGGTCGCCAGGAGTCGGCTTGCACCGCGAGAGCGGCGAGGCGGGGGGAGAGGCTTGGTGAGGGTGTCCGCGGTGGTGCCGGTGTGTTAGTTAGGGGGAGAGGCGCGGGCCGGGGGAGCGGGAGGGGGTGGGGGGGTGGAAAATTTCGATACCCTAAGGTGCCCTGGTGATCCTGGGTTAGCATCGTCTCTTCTGAGCCCGCTCTTGATGGGTTGGAAGCGTTTTCATAGCGAATCCGATTTTGCCATACGGACGTCCCTGGCGCGCGCTCTTGAAGGCCTCATCCTGGGATGGTGCTCGCCAGCGTGAGTTCATACAGTGCTGCGAGCTGGCCTAAGGCCGGACCTTACGACGGTCCAGCGCTGGGCAGCGTGATGGCTCTTACTCGAGGCGCGACATGAGTGTACGAGGACCTCAACGTCTCGGTTTGGCGAACCAGCATGAGGAGCGGAGCCGCTGTAGCTCCTCCCTGCAGCTTGCGCGTCGCGGTTTGGCCGACGTCCCATCCACCGCGCATACTGCGGCGGCTCTCCAGCTCAAGAAGGCTGCGCTCGACCACCACATCGCCCGAGTCAGTGGTCCGGACGCCCCGCTGAGCCTCGCGCCGCAGTGCAGCCAGTTTGCGCGGCCGTGATGCGCGAATCGAACCGGTGCGATGTTGTTCGGCACTCTAGATGGCCTGAACATGCTTGCGTTCAAGTCTTGAGGTCTGCGCTTAAACTTGAAAATTTAATAAAATCGGGTCCGACCGGCCTATTCGCTCGACTCCACAGCGATTTGGGCCGTCCACCCATGAACGAGGACGAGAAGCTGGCTGCGGCTCGCGCGCGAATTTTGGGACGCGGCAGTACCGGCTTGCTCCAGCGCTCACCTTCGCCTTCCTGAGCTGCTATATGTGGTACGTGCGTCCACTATGACCGCATGTGAGTACCCGTTCCGTCGCGTGACTCGCCGACGCTGGCACAGGTATGTCTACTACGTGGAGCGTCCTAACAACGAGCGGCTCGCCGCCCCACTTGGAGTGTAGTGGCGATTTTTTCTTCTTTGGGGAGCATTTTGTTTGTTGGTCTTTGTTCGACTTGTAGACGCGAGAGCTCCCGCCGGGCAGCGGCATGTCGCTCGGCTACGCCGACCGGCTCAAGGAGTATCCCCACAAGGGCGTGTGCGGGCTCCCCGAGAAGCAGGACACCGAGCGTCAGCTCCAGCTCTCGCTCCGCACGCTCGTCGACCTCGTCTCGTCGGCGGAGCACCTCGTCGTGCTGACGGGCGCCGGCATCTCGACCGCCGCGGGCATCCCCGACTTTCGCGGCCCGGACGGGATCTGGACGACGCAGAACGCGCTCGAGCGCGCCGCCGCCGGCAAACCCAAGGCGGGCGCCAAGCGCAAGCGCAAGCCAAAGGCGGGCGCGGCAGCGGGCAGCGGTGCGGCAGAGGGCGGAGCGGCTGCGCCGCCCGCCGAGACGCGCTCGGGCGCGATCGACTTTGCGTCCGCGTCGCCGACGCTGACCCACCACGCGCTCGCCGAGCTTGCGCGGCTCGGCAAGCTCAAGTACGTCGTCACGCAGAACGTCGACGCGCTGCACCAGCGCTCTGGCCTGCCACGGAGCAAGCTGGCGGTGCTGCACGGGTGCATCTTCGAGGAGAGGTGCGAGGCGTGCGGCGCCCTGTACCTCCGCGAGACCGACGTGGGGACCATCTCCTTCCAGCCCACCGGCCGCTACTGCACCAGAGTCGGAGAGGCGGCGGGTTCTGCCGCGTGCGGCGGCGTGCTGCGCGACACGCTGCTCGACTGGGAGGACCCGTTGCCAGAGGCGGAGCTCACTGAGGCGGAGAGGCATTGCGAGCGAGCGGACCTGATCCTCGCGCTTGGCACCTCGCTCCGGATTGAGCCGGCGGGATCGCTGCCGTGTCGGCACCGGCGCGGCGGCGGGTATGTGATAGTCAACCTGCAGCGAACGCCAAAGGACTCCAAGGCGAAGCTGATCGTGCGCGCGCCCGTGGACCGCGTGATGGCCGCCCTAATGCGCGAGGTCATGGGGCTCGAGCTCGAAAGGGGTGCCGCTGGAGCGAGGTGGGTCGCCACCGGCACCGGCGGCGCGGCCACCGGCGGCGCGATGCCGGAGGCGTCCTCCCTCACCGCCGGAGCCGGTGGCGCGCCAGCCTCTGCCCCGGTGGCTGAGGGATGACGGCGGGCCGAGTCCAGGGTCGGGTGGCCGCGATGCTTACACCGCTGCCCTCGTCTCCTCCGCGTTTGCCGCTGGGCGCCCGCCCAAACCCGAGAGCTCTGCCTCAGATCGCCGCTGCGAGCCCCCCCCCCCCCCCCCACCCCGGTCTGGGGGCGACGGCCCTCTCAGTCTCACAGTCAACACCGGGCAAGCCCATGTATCCACCGTTGGTAAGGTAAGGTAAGGACTAAGGTAAACTTCTCCACACACAAAAGGTGGTGGCGGGGTGGGGGGCTAGTACCGGCTAGCTCCGCGGGCGACCCTCGCGTCTCCACGTCTATGCCATATTGCATATAGAGGAGCCTCCCCACTCCCCACGCCCCACGGCCTCGTTAGTGCTCGCCGATAATAGATAGATAGGACGAAGGCGACGAACGACGTGATTGAGATAGAAAGGCTCCACTCATATCTAAGGAGAACTTGGAGGCAAGGAAAAAGAATTACGGCGGAAAAAGAATTACCGGGTGATTCGTTGCACAAACAGTGCAACGACACGCCCTGGTGCTCTCACTTTCGCCTGTTGCTTTCGCTTCATGATTCCCCTGCAGGCCTTCGTCCTCCTCCTCAGCCTGTGGTCGGCTGCTTCCTTCAGCACGGCGCCAGGGTGCCTCGAAATGTGGGCTGAATGCGAGGCGGACTCCGACTGCTGCGGCAGTGAGCCGTCGAACGAGAACCACGCCACCTTCAAGGGCTGCAAGATGGGCTCGGGCCAGCCAGCGGCAGAAGGCCATCCGGGCATGTGCTGCGACGAGTCCGACTGGATGCGGTGCTCTTAAGCCACGCGTGCTAAACCGCGTTTGTGACACGGTTGGAAGTCCTCGCCGAGCCCCTCCCGAAAGGTGCCGCTGTTGATGGAAGAGCAGGATGGGGTTCGGGAGGCACTGTACCTGCTGCCTGGTCTGTGCTTTGTCGTTT